AATGCTGACTGCAGAACTGGTGACTCAAATACCACAAAGGACACAGGTAACAGTGACCCAACTTTCTTGAATGGTAAACTCTTGGTAAAGTTCTGAACAACATAACAAATAATCTTCTGTCTTTCTACAAGATGCTCAAATTAGGGGAAAATTTAGCCTGCATTTTGCATGCAAAAACAACATTTAAAAAAGTATTTTAAATTTTATTAAAAATATTTTATTTAACAAAAATAAAATGTGCAAAACATATTTTGAGTTTATATGTAAAAACAACTTAGGTTTTAGGCTTATAAAATTATAAACAGCTTTTTCATATACATGTTTAGAGGGATTTTACCCACATAGATGGTGTCATGAGACACAGAATATCTACCATCCCTGGTCCACATCCCAAACTGGTGTCAATAACCAAAAGCCATTCCACAAATTTCTTAATGGCCCTCAGGAAGTAGTAACACCCCCAGTGAAAACCCTTAGGATGAAATGTTCAAAAAAACTGGACAACAGAATATCCATTTTGTTAAAAATGAATAGCCCCATCCCTTAAAATATTCCTAAAACACCGGACGACAGAGTTGTGTCATTTCACATGATAAAAACCATCTGTCTTTGAAGTTTGTCTGATCTTTGTTAATCCCACAATTAACCCTTTTGCTACTGCTTCTGAAATCCAATCTCTCAAACTTTTAAAATTCCATTATAAACAAACTGCCTCTCAGAGGGAATACATTATAATGTTTAAAAGCATGGACTCTGGAATCAGGCAGATCTTCTGGGTTCAAAATTACTTAAGTACTCTGTGTGTGATGTAGGTCTATTCCTTTAACTTCCTGATTCCCGTTTCCTTACCTGTAAAATCTTTCCTTTTCTTTTACCTTCTTCCCTTTTAACTTAAACACGCACAAATCACCTCTCTTCTAAGAAAACAACAGAAAGAAAAATTCTACCAACTCTACCATTATTCCTTCAAACTATCACCTTCATCACCTTCCCTTTTTCCTGGTCAAACTCTTTCAAAATAAGACCATGAATTAAATGAGTTGATGATTAGATAATAGAACAATAAAAGAAATAAAAAGGGAAACTGCACAGCTTTTTTCCTAAGAAAACACTGAGGACTAAAACACCATTAGAGCTAATAAATATCTTAGAAGCAGCAAGAAACAGAAAAGACATAACTGAAATACTGAAAAAGGATTTAACATAATCATGGTTAATGCAAAGAAAGAGACAAATATTGAGTAATTTCCCCAAATATCTGCTAACTATCTCATCCTATCCAGGTCTACTTGTTCTTGGTCCTTGTAATTTAGAAAATGACATGTTAAGCTAACTATGTATCACCTCTCTTCCTCCCACTAGCATGTAAGTTCCACAAGAGCAGTAGCTTTATTTTGTTTAAATGGCACAGAGCAGGGAATCAATAAATATTTGTTGAATAAACTAATGAATAAATGCATGATGGTACTGAAGACAAAGATACTTCTCCAAAATGGTAGCCAGCAAATGGATCAGAAAAAGTATTCTGATGCAATGACAAATTTCTATGAAATGAAGGAAAAGTTAAATATTTAGATTAAAAGCAATAACAGATAAGTTAAAGGCAATAACAGATGTAACTTAAAGGATATAAAGACAGACTTAAAGGATACAGAGAAAATACCAGCTGTCCAAGCCAAATTTTAAAGTCATCTAGAAGTAGGATTTAAAAACTATAGTATTGTACTTCCTCTTAAGAATATCCAGTGCCAGGGAAAATGACTAATGTCTGCAAGGTTTTAAAATAAATGGTTATTCCAGAAATACTACACTTATTCAAACAGATATTTTGATGATAAAAGCAACAGGCAAACATTCCTTAAAAATCAAGAACTTAGGAAATAATGTTCCTATGAGCACATGGTGAAAACCTGCTTAAAAATGAAATTAAGCCAAAGATCTCAAAAGTGGAAAGCACTGGTAAAAGAACTAGTAGAGTGCAATGAATCAAATTAAATAAAAACCCAATTACAGGAAAGTAAGGATAATTTCACTTCAAAAAAATTGCCATAGCCGGTTCAGTGGTTAGAGCACTGGCCTGTGGACTGAAGGGTCCCAGGTTCTGTTCTGACCAAGTGCATGTAGTTCAGTTGCAGGGCTAGATCCCAGCCCTGGTCAGGGCGCATGCCGGAGGCAACCAATCTATGTGTCTGTCGCATCGATGTTTATCTCTCTCTTTCTCCCTTCCACTCTCTCTGAAAAGCAATGGAAAAAATCCTCAGGTGAGGATTAAAAAAAATATATATATAAATGTAAATTCACATTAACAGATACTAAAAACATTAAAATTTAACATTTATTATGATAAAAAAATTCTTAGTAAACTGAAAATAGTAGCAAAACCTTAGAGCAAACATTGCACTTAATTGTGAAACTTTATATAAGCAACTCTCATTAAAGTCAGGAATGTAACGATGTTTCTATCATTGCTTCTATTTATATCATAGTTTCCAGGCAATGCAATAAGATACATTGTAATACAAAGACAACGAAATATAAGGTAAAAGAATTGAAAAGAAACAAAATTATCCTCATTTGCAGACAATATGATTGTCTAGGAAGAAAATTCAAAAGAATCATAAGGCAAACTATTAGAACTATGTGGGTGTTAGAATTAAATCAACAATAAAAATCAAAAGCATTCATACATACTAATAATAATTAGAAAAAAAATTCCTCATATAACAGCAACAAAGGCTATAAGTACCTAGAAATAAATAAATAAAACAAGATGTATGTGAACTTTATGGAAGAAGTGATAAAACTGTACTAAAGGATATATAAAACACCTGAATAAATATGAAATCTTTATAAATGAAAAGACTGAAATATAAATTCTTTCCTAATCTATAAATTCAAATTCCAATAAAAATCCCTAGTCTTCTTATGCAAAAACCTCAGTAAGAATTTTGTGGTGTTTTAACTTGCCCTATTTCCACCATCTCCTCCTGAGAGCCACAGTACCTAAAATCAATGGCCCACGAACATGGCAGAAACCAGTAGTCTGACAGCCACTGGAGAGGGTTAAGAGCTCCTTCAAAACCACTATCCCAGAAAATTATTAATGGATCTCCATGGTGGTTCCCTGGAAGACACCACTCATAAGACTGTCCTTATTTGACAGAGCTGCCAAGTTAAACAGTCTTTTCCCTGGGGGGAGGTGTCTGTCAAAAACAATCAAAGACAACTGTTGAACAGTGCGGCTGCCTGAGGCAGTGGATAACAGATGTAACAGCTGGGGCAAACAGCAGACTAACCAAAAAACTTTAAAAGTAAAACTGAAGAATATGCCCATTAGAGGGCTTTGAAAGTTCCAGCATACTCCTGGGGATCATGAAGGCAACAGGCATGCAAAGACCTTTGTGCACAATCAGGAAAGATTTGAGATGGCCCTAAACTCTCACTCGACTGACCTTGAGGGCTGACCTTGAGACTGCACAAGCAGGAAGTGAAGGCTAAAGCAAAGTTATAAAATACCTGGCTGTATACTGAAGGCATGTCCTAACATGCACAGAGCCCCTCAGCCGACTGGAGACTTTTTCCCCCTCCCAGAGAGAGTGAAAGGGAGGGGAGAGAGAAACATCAATGTGAGAGTGACACATCAATTGGTTGCCTCCAGCAGGCGCCCCCACCAAGGCCTGGGACTAAGCTTACTACCAAGGCATTTGCCCTTAGCTGGAAACAAACCAGGAACTCTTTAGTCCACTGGCTGACACTCTAACCTCTGAGCCAAACCGGCTAGGGCAAGACTGGACTTTTTTGTTGCAGGTGTTGATCGAAATCTGTCAAATCATTAACTGACCACTAAGCTAACCAAGCAGAGCCTTCAGTGGCGACATACAACAATACAAACTGAGATTTAGTACAGAAAAGTTACTAACAAAGCACAAAACAACCTTGGGAAGAGGGGAGGCTCTAATTTCCAGAGTTGCCAAGTTATATTATTTTAAATGTTCAGTTTTCAACCAAAAATTATGAGACATGCAAAGAAACAAGTATGATCCATACACAAAATAAATGTGTTCAAAGTACTAAAGTAAACCACGTCTCAAGAACTTAAGTATGAGAACAATGTCTCACCAAATACAGAATACCAATAAAGAGTTAAAAATGATAAAAACACAGACACAAACTATGGAGTTGAAAAATGACAATGCACCCTGGCCAGTGTGGCTCAGTTGGTTGGACATCATCCTCTACACCGAAAGGTTGCAGGTTCTATTCCTGGTAGGGGGTGTGCAGGAGGCAGCTGTCCACTGCTCTGCTCTTGCACTTTATATTTGTTTCACTTACAGTCAGCAGGGCCAGCAGGGCCAGCAGGTCAAGGGATGAATTTTTAGCAAAACTTCACAATTACTTTAAATCCCTCACTGCTTATACTGCTATTAGATATATTCAGTAGCATGAATTTCTAAGAGTTCAGTTTAGTGGCATATCAGAAAAGTGTAAAAAATGTTTAGCCATCATTAAAATAAATCAAATTTCCTGCGATTTTCACAACGTTTTGTAGCACTGAACTAAAGTAAAGGGAAGGCTTTCAGTGTCAGGATTAGCAGTTTAAATTTTAAATACAATCAGGTTCAAGAACAAAAGAGTAACAGTGATTCAAACTAAATTTGAGGAGAGACAGGTAATAAGGAAACTAGTTACAACACTATTAAAATAATCCAAAAGGGAAGTAATGAAGGTAGTGGCAATGGTACTGGGGAAAAAAATGGGATAAACACATTACTATCATAGCTTTCAGAGGAAAAAAATCAGATTACCCACGTATCACTTATAAAGAAAATCAGTGGAGCTTCTTTCTTTATTCCTTCTGACAATTCTGTAAATTACAATATACTCCAGAGACAGTGTATTGACAAAAATAACTAAGACAAGCAAACACATCAAATTCACAAGTTCAACTTAAATATTTATATATTTCCAACAATTTGGCAGAAAAACATAAGTTCCCTTACCTCATCATCATCAGAATCATTCCCAAACACTGATGGTTTTTGCAAAACAGGGTGCAACTTCTGTGCTTTCTTTGGCAAAATAAGCCCATACCTGCATTGGTGTTTTTTTTTGAAATAGAAATTACACCATTATATTTAAATGTTAAAACATAATACATTCACTACCTCTTCCAGATGAAGCTACCAAGTCAAAACATGCCATATAGCCTATGAACACATAACAGTTTCCGATCCTCAGATATCTCAAAATTCTAATGTTAAGATTTTATAATTATTATTCTAAGTCATTATTTGTAGACATGAGCCAAACTCAAATACCATTTTAATCAAAGACGAGAATAACTGAAGAGTTCAGAAATGTTTTAGGTGGTCAAATGACAGTAAGGTTTTAAAAAGAACATGTTAGTGGAAAGCTCAGTTCATGTCCAATAAAAATAAAAATACCCTAAATTATCCTGTGGTCTAAGAAGAGTCAAGAAAATGGATTTTCCCCCTACTGTGTACTTACACAGTATTAAAGAAGTTACTGGGTAATGTCACCCACAAATTTTAAAAGATTACATTAACTGGAAAACCCAAGTAGTCATAGGGTAAATTCTCATTACACTTTATTAAGCTCCCTTGCTTTGTCTTGGAGCATCTGAGAGAACCATCCCTTCAGAGCCAACTCATTTAGTTTCTCACATTTTGGCCTTTAAGATGCAGCAAAACACAGGAAGCCACATCAAAAGAATTATACTCCAAAGGTAAGACTTCCAAGAACGTACAATATTTCTCTCTTGCGGCAACGTAAACCCCAATTCCTTATATGCCTACCCGTTTCTGTGGCTTCTCAGCACATCCCTAAAACGAGAAGGGAGGGCGGGAATCAGGCCTTGAGCTCGCAAGAACGGGGCCCTCTAAAGAAGCCAGGGCCCCTGAAGGTATCCAAACCGGGAGAAACTCAAGCGCGGGGTAGGAAGCAAGACTGAGGGGCCTCAGACCGAGCTTTTGGAAAATAGAAAAGTCTCGCTCTCTGCCCCTCAGCCTAACTTCCTTTATTTCCTCACAAGTTTCTCCCTCAAAACTTCGGGCTTCCATCCTGGAAAATGGGGGGTGGGGAGGGGAATATGTTCCTTAGGATTTCTCGCTCTTCCCCGTCTCTATCCCTGACGATACAGCCCCTTCACTTCCGGCGCGCTTTTACTCCTCAGCCAAAAACACAGTCGCCGTGCTTTCTCATTGCCCAGCCTAACCCTAACTCCCGAATCACTCACTGCCTGCCCGGAATCGCCATCTTGCTCCGGTCTCCGCTGAACGTGGCCGACGCCGACGTGACGCCGACACAGACGCTGACGTCGTCACGTAAACTCTCGCGCGAATGTGGGCTGCCAGGAATTCGCCCTGCCGGGGAATCTTTTTATGAGTGGATTCAAGCGCCGTCTGGAACCGAGCCTTTCGGTTTCGTGTGGAAACTGACTGCTTCGAAATGAGTGGGAAGAAAAGAATGACAAAATTCTAGGCCAGTGCTTCCTAAGATGTGGTCCGGGACCAGCAGGTTAGCATTACCCGGGAATTTGTTAAAAATACAAATCCTCGGGCTCTATCCCAGGGCTTCTGAATCGGGAACCCTGGGGTGGGGCCCAGAAATCTGTAGTTTAACGAGCCTGCCAGGTAAATCTGATACTCAAGTTTGAAAACCGCTACCCTAGGCTATCGGTGTGTTTTTTTTCCCCCTCTGAGGTGTTCAGTATGAATATATCTGGCTCAGGGTAATTTGGCTGAAGATGAAAATCTATATGCTAATAGTGTCTCATTATAGGACCAAATTGATTAATAATACCGTGGGACCACTGGTATTATTAATCATATACCATACTCTTTTTTAAAAATTCTCGTCGCATTCAATCTGTGCACGCACTCACTCTTGGCCCATTCCAAATTACTCTTTATAGAGCCCAAGAAATCTTTCAATTTCTACAGAAGGATGTTTAAATCTTCAACTATAATTGTGGATTTGTCTCTTTCTCCTCCTGATTCCATCAGTTTTTCTTTCATGTATGTTGAAACATTTAGGATTATTATGTCCTCTTGCATTGACTCCTATACCATTAGGAGATGACCCTCTTTCTGTGTAAAACCTTCATATTTATTTCATAATAATAGTACCCCTTCCCTATCGTCAGAAGTTTATTCTCAATTAAAAACAGGACTGAAATGCCATTTCTTTGACTTTATGACCTCTCAAACGTGATTAATAAGGAAAGGCAATAATGGTGCTAACGATTTGTCTAGATGCCTAAATCACGCCTAGAGCATTCTCCAAACACTCTCGTAAAAAATTCTTTCTCTGGAATTGAAGAAATGATCCTCTTTATTTCTCTTATGTGCTTTATCTGATATTAACATAACCAGCTTTGATTGTTAGCACAGTATATCTGTTTCTGTCCTTCTAACCTATTTTAATCTATTTGTGTCTTTATGTTCAAAGTGGACCTCTTGCTGATAGCATATCGTTGGGTCTTGCTTTCTTACCCAGTCTTGACAATTGCCTCCTTTTAATTTGGGTGTTTAGAACATTTTCATTAAAGTGATTATTAGTATTGTCGACACAAGAAACGTACAAACCTATACTTTTTATGAGTTTATTTGAGCCAAACGGATAATTGCAAAATCTCAGGGGATGAGAAACTGTTCCAGAGAATGTCATATTTGCAGCTTATTTTATACATAAAATAAAAGACATAACGAGGGAGGGTTACCTGAAATCCGTTGGTAGTAGATTAAGGGGGTGGGAGAAAGAGGAAGAAAGAGAGAGATTTAGAGAGAGAAACATCAGTTTGTTCCACTTATTTATGCACTCATTGGTTGATTCTTTTTTAAAATTTATTTATTTATTTATGGATTTGGGGAGAGAGAGAAAGGAGGAGAGAGAAAAAAATAGAAACATCAATGTGAGAGAGAAACATCGATTGACTGCTTCCCACTCAAGCCATGACCGGGGCTGGGGATTGAACCTGCAACCGAGGTACGTGCCCTTGGCCAGAATCAAACCCGGGACCCTTCAGTCCACCAGCCGACACTCTAACCACTGAGCCAAACCAGCTAGGGCCATTGGCTGATTTTTGTATGTCCCCTGACCAGGAATCTATCCCACAACGTTGGTGTATTGGAACAACACTGTAATCAACTGAGCTACCCAGCCAGGGCTCCCTTTGCTTACTTTTTAAAGGTGTTGCTTTAGGGTTTCCAGTACACATCTTTAACTTATCACAGTCTACCTATAAATAAAAATATACCACTTTATATATACAAGAAAACCTTACAGCCCTGGCTGCGTAGCTCAGTTGGTCTGGATTGTCTGCACCATACACCGTCATTGTTACCTGTAAGTTGTGGAGAAAGAGTGAATAAAAATTCAACTAATCAAGTCTAGGCTTCTGAAGTAGAAGTAAATATAAGAAAATCAGTAAATCTATTTAGTCCAGCAATTTTCAATTGGTGTGCTGCAAGAATTCTAAAACATGCAATACCTGACACTAAATAGTCACACCAGTTGAAATCACTTATTCAGTCAAATAGATTTAAGTATGAATCTATAGCTAAATTTTTGTCAAGTGTAAGAAACATCATCTTCACTAAAAAGTAAGCTCCTAGTGTTAAGGGTTGTATATTACTTGAATGCTGGTTAAATGCATTCAACCAATCTGCCTTGCTGGTTAATTTTAAAATAATTTCCAAAAGACTGAATGCATAGTCATTAGTCTAGTAAAGGTTGGAAACTATTAGTGAGATTTCTGAAGTGCTAGGAAGGGCAGTAACCAGAAATCAGGATGCTTGGATACTAGCTCTACCCTGCCTCTTACTAGCTGTTGTGGCCTAGGTAACTCAATCACTCTTAGAGACTTTCTCATTTATAAAATGGGAATAATAATATCGAGACTATCTTACAGGTTATTGGGACAATAAAATGACCTAGTATGTGAAAATATTTCAAACAAGTTTAAGCACCATGCAAACATAGTATTTATTATTAAGCTAAATGCCCTTTAGTTAACTTAATTCCCATGATAGTAGTTAAAAAGGTAGTATTCTACAAAAATTTACCCTTGCTGCCTAAAATACCATTTGTATTCACAGTGAACTCTATAAGCTGTTCTGAAGCCATGAGAATATGTGGCTATCAGTTTAATATCTTCAAGAACATTGTTCCTAGAAATGTTGCTGCAAATGTCCTGAAAAGCCCTCTTTCCAATAAAAAATAAAAAAAGGCTTATAGGTTAAAACTGGGCATGCGATCATCCAAGAGATGAGGACTGGTAATAACACTGCCATCTTATCAGAAAAGGTTAAAAAGGGACCTCAAATCTCAAATTATAAGATGTTTGGAACACATCACATTTTGTCAACCTAATAAAGAAAATGAAGTTTAATTTCCCTAAATTTTATTAAAGATGGACTGTGTCATCAGATATTTTATTGCAAAGATGAAATCTCACAACAGAGCAGTAAAGTTTGCTGGAATAACAAGCTTTAAATAAATATAAATTCTTTTTGCAGTTCTTGAACTTGAGAGGGTTTTGTTATTTCTTCTTAAGTGTTTTCTTTTTTCCATGAGTCATGGACAAACATTTTCCCACAAGAACTTCTATTCGTTGAAATAACTTTAAGTTGTTAAAGTGGGGGGGGGGGGG